CGGAATAAAAAAAAAAACCCTGCTATGAAGGCAGAACTCTGCTATGAAGGTTATGGTTTCAGTTCCCAGAAAAACAGCCTAAAGCTCTGATACCATGTTGTAGTTTGAGAGGAAAAATTATATTTTGTATTACAATTACAAGTGGTTTATATACTGAAGCTCTAGCCCTTAGAAATAGAATCACATCCATAGTGTGTGGAATATTCACATCCCATAATCTGTGGGATATTCCCATTCCATAATCTGTGAGATATGACACCACAAAAAAAGCAACTAATCAAATTAACCTAATTTTAGGGAGACTAACTATTATATTCAGACTTTCCTAATTTAATCTATACATGCGTAAAGCACATTCTTCCACAATATGCAACTAGAGCGATGATGGAACTTTTTCATTCTATCTGAAGGTGATGCATGGCATGCAATATCAACTATCATTAAACAAGAAAGATAGAGCACATTAAGTTGGAAAAAAAATCTATTTTCTAAAAGAATCATCTGAAAAATGTTCTGTAGAGAAACAATTTTAATTTATGATTACACACACTCACACATACATATATACATATATTAGGAAAACAGAATTTTTAAATGTTGATGTTCAAAACATCTTTTATTGTCTTATGTTCTTCCATTACTGGAAATTATCAAAATGGTTATTTTCCAATTCCATTAACTAACTAAAATAATGCGAACATCTTTTCCCTGAAAGAAGAACTGAAAATGGGAAATGAAAAAATAGAAAGGAAAATTATAAAAATCTTTCCACTCAAATGCACCCATAAATATATGACAATGAGTGATGGGACTTACTGATACATTGGGAATAAGACTTGCACCACCAATAAGACTTCCGTTTTGAAAATTTTTTGGAAACACATTTTTTCCAAACTTGTGTTCCCTATCACTCTTCCATGAGATGCCCCTCTTGTTCACATTCAAATGTTGGTTGTTGCGGGTAAAATTATACGTGTCATTGAATAAACTCCAAGCAATGAGACCACAAGGCACGATTGGTAATCCTTCTGCATTGTCCTCAGGCTTACAAGAGCTTACATCATTCTCACTACTTGGATCTCTCAATTGTGCATCACTTCGGCTTTTTACATACCTATTGTACAAAGTCATTATTATTGCCAAGTGTTCATTACAAATTAAGATACTCACTACTTTGTTTTTAATCTTTTAAACAGGGAACCTTTATTTATTATGATAGAAAGTTAAATATGGTAAAAATAATTAAACATGAGAATTCGAAGTATACAAGCTTAATCAGATCATGCTAATTATCAAGCAACACCAGGCAAAAAAATGCAGGTCCATCTAACTAGATATTTTTATGCACATTTCAAATACCCCTGGTTGTCAATGCCAATTATTCTATTGGGAATTAAGGGGAACACTTATCACAATACAGCACAGGTGCAATTATCTAACAAGAAGAGAAGACATTGTTGTTTTCTCCTTTGCAAATACACAAAGCCATAACATATAATCTTCATGTCATTAAAAGCTTATAACTCATTAACCCCTTTTTTCTTTTTTGAGTTCAGATGCATAAAAAGAAAATCTAGAAAAAGATTGCAGTTTCCTGCACCAAATATAATGATCTGTCCACGGTATAAACAAAGTTGATAACCTAGATACTGCCTTATTTGTGGTCTTCAAACTCCATGGTCACAAGAAAGCTTCCATGAGAAAAATCACTCGCATAATAATCACACCATTCTGAAAATTTCTCCAGATAGTTTCTTGCATGCACAGATTTTTTAGATGCATAGAGGAAATGAAGAGACAGGTAAATACCTCCGATGATTCTGGTAAAAGTTTTCAAGCTGGTAGTACACATAGATAGGCTGCTTCATATGCTTAGGGACCTTACAATGAAGAGAAGAAAAAAAGAACATTAGGGGCACGTTACTATAGTCAAAACGTCACAGCAGATTATAGAATTTTTAGATATGTCCATCTGAGATGCAGTTCCGGACTATGACATTGATTAAATGTCTCCAGTGAGGCAAAAGGATTGCTGCCTACACTACATTCAGGGTTATTTCCGTCATGGAATACGTAGAAACAGTGGTCATTGGAGCAGATTAAAAGCCAGCCAGACCTTTTTGAATAGTCTCTTATACTAGGAAAACCTTATATGTCAAATACAAGATGTATGAGTCAACATCATGCACTCTTAGTAGTTACTCAACAACCCTTAGAAGCAGGTGAATGCACCAGGGAGATAGTGCACACGGTTGTTAAATTGGAAGCAGGGGGAGATTGTGGTTGTTAACATTGCATGTTTAATTTCGAAACTGGATAAGTGAACAAAAAAATCATAAAGCATGATCAGAATATTTTGAAAAAAAATTGATGGAAAATAAGAATTTGACAAAAACCAAGATATATGGATAAGGCTAGACGAAATTAGCCATAATCACAAACTTCAAAATAAACATAAAATTTAAAAAATAAAATCATCTTTTGCACGTAGAATATAATGATATTTCCATCCAACTTAAAAAATTTACTTTTAGTATTTCAATTAACTAAGGTTTGACAAATATAGAAATCAATACCAAAAGCAATGGTGAGAAATTTGATAAGAAGAAAAAAATAAAAGTGAAAATTTGAACACTATGGAACTTACTGTTAACGTTCTGTTGCATTTCTTATCTTCAGGGCCTTGTATAAATCCCGCCTTATCATTTCTAGAGGACGGGGGTACGCATGCAGCATCATACCGGTGGACAATTTCAACAACCTTTTAAGAATGACACATCCATAATCAATTACATATTAAACTGAAAAAAAAAAAATCAGTAGATTTGAGTGAAACCAAGCATACATCCCGAGAAGCCAAAAGCGAGACAACTCCAAGGGGAATGAAGACAACACTAACGAGTAGAAAAGTTGAAATCACCTGCCGCAGAAGGTAACAAGTTAAATGCTTTTTTCACATGTATAATGATAATATTTCAAGGAGAAAATTTCAAAAAGTTATTATTCTATCATGCAGTAAACGCATTAGACCATACCCATCGGGGTGTAAGAATTGGCTTGCAAGCGGGGAGTTCCTGCTGCGTAAACCTTGAATCTGAAAGAGAAAAATTTTTAAAAGAAATTCTCTTAAGGCAAGTAGATTATTTTATGGCAAATCTGCAAAGTGACCGCCATATGAATACAGAAAATAAATTTTAGATCGAATACTCAGCTGAATCACATCCTGTAAGATGCAAGGCAAGGAAAGGTCTCTAGTCTATATTGACATTAAATAAATAAATGCTCCAATCACAAGAAGAATCAGAAAATGCATGCTGGACCTAGGTTTTCACATTGTTTACAGGTGGATGCCAACGTATCTTGTCCATCACTTTGTTTTTTAACACCGGTCCTACCAACTAATATAGGTGCCTTTGACACCATGAATTATAGGCTGAAAACTATCACCGTGATGCTTCCCCAGAAAAGAGTATTCGAAACTTGTCTTAGCTAGATGTTTAGTATTTATTTATTAAAAAAAATATAACTGATTCTTTTCTTCTTAAAACATTATAGTACAGAAAAATAAAAGTACCCTAATTAATAGGAAAGCTTATATAATGCCATAATCCTGGCCAAACAGCAGCATTTTCTAATTAAGCTTGTTTACCTATTAGATTAAAGAAATCTCTCTCTTTAAACTACTGCAGAAATCACTTAATTCAGAAAAATAGTAACAAGCTTATGACGTTGGTGATTCAATTTGATCTCAGAAAAAGATACAGGCCAGAATAATCAAAGAAGACATCATTAGCCTAGGGAAGATGACCTGATGAGACAGGCATTGAAAAATAGAATAGATCCACAATTGTAAGCAGTCAGCAATATGAACATTCAAAATTTTAGAGCTAAATACAAATCATGTTCACAACCAATTCCCTTCAAGGAATTTCAACATAGTATACTCTCTATCCCCAGAGAAAAAAAATCAAGAAAAATATAGTGCATAAACAAATACAACATTCCCCTGGATTTTTTCAATAACAAGATTTTATTTGATTTAAAAATTTCCCCATGCTTGAAAATATATTAAAATTTGAATTCAATTTCTGTTAATACAGTGCACCCATCCAATGAAATTCCAGACGATACCAAGAAAATAGTATCTCTACCTCATCCGGCTAGAAAGTATCAAGAATATTCAATATGCATTCTTGGGGATACTGTACTAACACCACCATGTCCATCAACTATTACGATGCAAGTAAGAATACGGTGTTGCAACGAGACAATCCCAAATATTTGCTAATCATGCCTACTCAGGCTCATATAGCTAGATAAAAGGTAAGATATAATTCATGTGCATCAATAAAAAGCAAGTTCCTTGAACAAAAAAAAAAAGAACATAAAGCAAGAAAAACAGAAAATGCTCAATATATATACAGAAATCGTACTCCTAATTAGATTTCGGCAGTTACATCAAAAGAGTTGAATATCAACATCATGACAAATCTTATACGAACAAAAACTACATGAACCAGAAAGAAGGAAGAGAAGATTACACTTGGGTCGCTTAGAATTCCTCCTGGCAGTCGAAGAATCCGCCGATCCACCAGCTCCAGCACTGGACGACGCTGTATTTGGACTCATGTGAAAGAACGCCGAGACAGAAGTTGCTTTTCAGGAGAACACAAGATAACCAGGCAAAAAAAGATCGAGACAGAGGAACAGAGAGAGAAATCGAGGGGAAGAAGATGATAGAAGCGAATGCGAAGAGGAAAAGTTGGGGATTGAAAGGAAATAGAAATCCAGAGGAGGAAAATCCAAAGGAGGAAAGAAGATTGGCAGTTTACAGAGTAATGCGTAATGGTTTGTACTTTGACTTTGCAAAGTAAAGGAAGCTTCTCTCTCTCTCTCTCTCTCTCTAGGGCGGCAAAAGGAAGACCAATCCGTTTCTCTCTCTAGAAGTAGTAAATGAGTTTAGAGAGAGAAAAAACAATGACTTGAATTCAACTTGGAAGACGACTGAAGAAACACGGTTGTTTGATTTTATCTAAATTAAATTATTTTTTTATTTTCTTTTTTATTAAATCATAAATTAGTTTAGGTAAATATATTTTATTTTTAAAAAATTATAAACTAATTTCACTAAAAAAATTCAATTTGACATTAAAAAAAAAAAGAAATTGAACTTTTTTGTTTTCAACTCTCAATTTTACTTATATTTTTGTATTTGTTTTATATATTTTATTTACATTTTAACTTTAAAATATTTTTTTATCGAAACTAAATATTTATAATGAACTTTTTTTTTGGACGATATGTTAAATTTAATTTAAATAAAAATATATTATATCTTACTTAATATATTATTTTTATGTATTTTTAATAGCTTACAATTTTAACATTTTACTTTTGGTATCTTTCTCAACTTAGTCTTTTACCTTTAAAATTTTAGAACTAAAAATTTTATT